ACACACACACACACACACACACACACACACACACACACACACACACACACACACACACACACACACACAGGCTGCATGTTGTCGCTCATGTTAGCTCTAAAAGTCACATCATTTCCACAGAGCTGACAGAGGGTGCGGCCCACGGTCCTCGTGTCTCATCATAATGGGCTCTTTGAGAGGTCAAGTCAAGCTTCTCCCACAACCTGTTTGTTCCCTGAACACACCCATTTACATTAGACTGACAACAAGAGGCCTTTGTTCCAGCAAAGCACACTCTATAAAAATGATGAACAAAAGAGTGAAGCAGACAAAAGGAAAGCAAAAGAACAACAAGGCGGGCATCAGGATCCATCCTTCTGCTCTGACACTGTCAGGGGTTAAACAGGGCTCTCCAGCTTTGATCTGAGCTTGGACTGAGATTTCGAGCCGCTGAACACTGTTGCCAAAAGTTGCTTTCAGCCGTCCTAAAAACTGCTAAATAACGTCATCGTCCAATTTGCATATTTGGACTTTTGCCAACAATTGTGATCAGGGCTGTATGGTGTTTAATGACGGAGTGAACAGTGTGTAAAATCAATGGTGGGGGGTCTGGGGGTCCTCCCCCAGAAAATTTTGAATGAATTAGACACCATTTCCTGCATTCTGGTGTATTTTAACAGTTAAACAGACTTTTACACAAGTAAACACTTGGTGAGTATTCTATAGGTCAAGCTGAAGGGGTTCTCAAACATGTTGGGTCTGGAGACCACAAGAGTGAAAAATCTGAGGGACCCCCTCATAAAAGCCATGCTGTTTTAAAAATATTATTTTAATCCCTGAATTCCCTGGGAATAGAAGAGAAGAGTCATTTGCAGCTGGGGTGGCTGTGTGAGGCTTCAGAAGTAGACTGGTAGAAGTAGCTGTGAGTGTTTATTAATTTATTTCTTAAAACCAACAAAAACCATTAAAAACATCAAAGTAAATCAATTATTGAAAAATAAAGGGGCAAAAAGAAGAAGAAAAATATTGTTAAAAACCAACTTCCTCCAAGCACTAACATCATGTGAGGTCTTTGTTATAAACTTTGACTGCAGCCCTGCTTTAAAAATATCCAGGTTATCCCTTTATTTAACACGGCTCTGACACTGATCCAGATGTTTGCAGGTGATGTGCTGCACGCGCATCGTATCCTCGTGAGAATGATTATTTTTTAAACTATGATTAAAAGCATAATTTGTGCACACAACAGGTGGAAAGGATTGGTCTGAGCTGTGATGATGGAGCTGACTTCAGTCTGACCTCGGCCCCTTTATCTCAGAAAATATCTGTTTATTTAACTCATTAGGCTGCATCTCGCACAAACTTTTTTATCTTCCACCATACTATTAGTTTCTCTGCTCCATTCTTCTCGTTCTCCTTTCTTTCTAACATGTTTGTTAACTTTACCTGCACGGCTCACCTGTTTTCTTTATCTTTTTTAATTTGGGAGGGGGAGCACACCGGGCTTCCTCGTCTGCAGGTCCATGCTCATGCTGCGTTCCAGTTGTCCTCGGAGGTCGTAGCTTTGAGCCGCCGAGTTAAATTTTTCAACTGGAACGACCCCTGAAGTCGTAGTTTCGAGTTGGGAGGTTGGCGCATCCAGATCATACCCGAGCAGCCCGAGCATGCGTTACATCATCATTTCAACATGGCTGCTGCGCGCATGAAACTGGCAGCGGTCGCGCTATCATTAGCATGTTTCTCTAATGTTGAGCTGTAATCAATCGTACACAAGCACCATCCCCATTATTTAACAGACAGAAAGTAAGGAGAGGACGCAGAATAAAAATGAGTGTAATTAATATGTTTATTTTCCCTTTTTATATTTATTTAATTTACAGTATATAGCGTACTAGCATGCTTGTCCGAGCTAACCGCTAACGTTGCTAGTCTTGCATGTAAACAAACGCGGCATCTGTGTTGTTTATTTTACATTACGTCAGACGTACTTGTAGTGCTTTATAGTGATAGTTAAAATATATGTTTTAACACTGTTTGTACACTCAAAATACCTCGTAGAGCACTATTATTGTACGTTTTATTGTTGCAGAGCAAAATAATAGAAACGCAATTCAAGATGTAATAACCACTGGTTGTGCAATAGTCCTAATTTTGGCCCTCATACTAAGCCATTATTAACAGATGTAAAGACCCCATTTCTCCACTTGATGGAGATGTTTTTGAGTTAATTAAATTATATATTTATCTCCCGTAGAAAGCCCCGCTGCAGTTATTAACACATGAAGAGGTGTTTGCAGAGAGAAACCCAGACTGAGAGCAGAAACAGAAAAATCACTTTATAACACAATCTAGACCATCATAAATCACTGTGTTCGTGCCAAAAGACGGATCAGCACAAACTCATTCACACTTTGAGCTGGGGTGGACGCAGAGGGACGGCTGATAAGACAGAGAGTGGTGCCTGACCGTGATGCCTTCGGCCTCGTACTCCTCCTGCTCTGACTTCAGCGTGAGCTCAATGAAGAGCTGCTGCAGCTTCTCGTTGCAGTAATTGATGCAGAACTGCTCGAAGCTGCAACACACAGACACACACAGGTCAGCTGGTGATCTGATACTCTAAATGTTGTTAAAGCGAGGTTCTGTGGAAATGTTACAAACAGTTAATATCTTACCTGTTGTATCAAACCATTATTACAACCTTTGTTTGGAAAAACAAAGTTTAATCCTGACTAGAACTTAAAGTATCTGACCCAACCTGAGCTCAAATTCAACCTGAATAATTACTGATTAGAGGCCTGAGCCTGAAGTCAACCCAACATATTTTAATTACTGTATATGTAGGTTTAATGCAATCTCCATTTTTTGAGCTGAAAAAGCTTAATAAATCTGAACATTGGATAAAATGCTGTTCACAAATTCATAATAATTACTCCCCAACTTTATGGATGATTTTAGAGGTTAAATTTAAATACAAATAAATACTGCAAGCTTTAATTTTTTAGTTTTTAGACCACCATAGTTTTATGCTAATCAGACAGGAGAGGAGCAGAGTGCTGCGCTTCACTTCTCCATCTTCCTCCTTTCTTTTTTTCTTCAACAGGGTGAACTTAGACTATAATCAGTAGACAAACAGAACTTTAAAGGGATCCCCGATTAGTTGCAACATTAGACTTTATTTAATAAACATATACATTAACTGTAAAATAAAGACTGTAAAAATACTGYAGGATGTTCAGTTTTTAAAATTTTTTAACTAAAAGTTTAAAAATATATTACACGGACGGGGCCATTTTATTTCCACGCAAAGCATTCTGGGAAATTGATGACATCAACTAGGTCATCAGCACAAGGCTGCTAGTGAGCTATATCCACCCTGAAGGTTAATCTTGGACAATATCTGATGATCGACTCTTTTAAATGAAACCAGAGAGCGTTGACAGAGAGGAGAAGGTAGAAATGACTCAGCCTGTAACTGAAAATGCTTTGCGTGTAAATAAAATGGCCCCATCCGTGTAATATATTTTTAAAC